CCTGCCATGAGGGCAGGGGACTGGACTCGATGACCTCTTGAGGTCCCTTCCAGTCCTAGAATCTATGAATCTATGATAGTGCCCCAAAGAGTTGGGGCCAAATTCAGTTGTGAGTCGATTAGTGTAATTTACTCAGTCGGAGTTGTACTAACATACTCTGCCTTAAATTGGGTCTTTACTGAAGAAAACTTCCCCCAAATTCTAACCAGTTTTAAAAACTCGTTAAGCTAAACACTGTTGGTATTTGCCACGTCTTCAGTGACTGGTAGGGGAACCTGGGCCCATCCTCTACTCTGGGTTCCAGCTCAGGGGCCCTCCAGTTAGCAGCCAAGGCCTGCACTGCTGTTCTTTGCTGCTCTGCCCAGAGCCTTCTCCTACCTTCATGTCTCCCCACTCTCTGGGCTTGCCAGCATCCCAACTCCCTCCTCCCAGGGAGAAACTGTGGATCACCCTTTATAGTCTTAACGCACCACCATCCTCCCAGGGAGTGACTGCAGCCTGCTTTCCTGCAGTCCCCTTCTGTTGTCTGCTCCCTGGCTCTATGGAAGTCCTGCTTGTTCCTGCCCTGCTGAGCCTGCTCCCAATAAACCCCCTACTCTCTGGCTCCTCCTCCAGATGCAGCCAGTGGAGTTAAGTGGCCTGCCTGGCCATCTTAATCCATTCCAGTCTTGTGTGGGTAGACACCCCATCACAGTAGGCCAGGGGTGGCTAACCTGTGGCTCTTCAGAAGTTAATATGTGGCTCTTTGTATAGGCACCGACTCTGGGACTGGAGCTACAGACGCCAACTTTCCAATGTGCCGGAGGGTGCTCACTGCTCAACCTCTGGCTCTGCCAAAGGCCCTGACCCCACTCCACCCCTTCCTGTCTCCTCACCACCCCCAGCCTCAAAACAGCTGATCGGGAGGTGCTGAGAGGGAGGGGGAGGCGCTGATTGGCAGGGCTGCCAGTGGGTGGGAGGTGCTGGGAGTGGTGGGGGTTGCTGATTTATTACAGTGGCTCTTTGGCAATGTCTATTGGTAAATTCCGGCTCCTTCTCAGGCTCAGGTTGGCCACCCCTGCAGCAGGTGATGAGAATGACACTGCAACAAGAGCCAGGGTAGGGAACAGACAGGACTGGGAGAGAAATAGATTGCAGGGGATGGGCAGAAGAGGTCAGGCTTTGGAGGAAACAGGCAGAAGAGCTTGTGCCCACTACAGCACACTCCCTTGCAGAGCCTGGACTGGAACCCAAGACTCACCCTTCCTCTGCTGTCAGAAAACCCACTGGCAAAGTGTGTGTCTCCTCTCCCTTAAGTGCTGGTCCACATGGATGATGACAATTTACTACTGCTCTCCGTTACTACCTTAGCTCAAGTGATTGAGGTATGTGCAGTGGATCTAAAGGTTCCAGACACATGGCTGCACCATGTGGGTGGCCACATGATGCCACAGGATGGAATTTCTGTTTTTCAGTTAGCTTTTTAAAAAACCCTAGGAAATACCATAGGATCATGTAATTAAAGACTATTGTTATGCTATCCACCAGAGGCCAAATTAAGATTGAACAGGCAACCTTAGTTCTATCATTTTCTAATGTTTGAGTGCTTTACTTTGCAACATTAATGTTCTTTTAATGTAGCTTTGTGTGCGTAATAACTGATATAGGCTTATAATTGATATTTTTATGCTTACTTTTATAGTAAATAAGAGGGTCATATTTTTGATGTATGTAATAGAATTTGAAGATATAAACTATGACTGAATTTGAATATTTAAATACCTTCCCTTGGCTGTTCATTCCTTGACACACATACCTACCAACAGAACTGAAAGCCAAGTCGGTTCACAGACACAAAAATTGTTAACAGGAATTTTGACTGAATAAAGACTTAAAGATTTGGGGCCAGATCCTGCAGCCGTTACTCACGTTCAATAGGAGTACAAGCTATAGACTTGGATCTTTGGCCCTCTTAGTCACATAACTGACAGCACAATGTGTATATATTGCATCATTAATCTTATGTAATATGTTCCAATGCTGACCCTATGTAAATTGGTACATTTACTCAATATCTAGTTCTCAAAACCCTTTTTTACACCATGTGACAGTTTCAGATAAGGAACTGATGAAAGAATGAAATGCAATAAGAACAACTTGAAGTCAAAGCCAGAATCAAGTTGTGAAAGAAACAAACAGCGTTTTATTGAGGAAGACTTTTCCAGAGATGTTCAAAGGCCTAGTTAAAGCTCTCTCTCTCACACACAAATTATAATATATAATATATATATATATAAAAAAATAAGAAATTCACGCTTGGAGAGAAATTACTTTCCATTTGACATGATGAAGTTGGGGCTTTGTTCTGATTTCACAAACAAATAATTTTAACTAAAATTTCTTTAAAAGTTTATATTAAAGAAGTTATTTTATACATTATATGACCTCTTCTCTTATCCTCTAAATCTCTCTCCAAAATTACTGCTTTTATATAACCTTCCTATGTTAATCTCCCTCCCTATTCATGAAATCTTTCTGCAGCAGTTCTCAGACTATGGGTTGGGACTCTAAAGTGGGTCGTGACCCCGTTTTAGTGAGTTGCCAGGGCTGGCGTTAGACTTGCTGAAGCCCCAGGGCTTCGGTCCCCCGGCCTGGAGTGGTGGGGCTCAGGCTGGCTCAGGCTTGGCCCCCACTCCTGGGGTCCTGTAATAATTTTTGTTGTCAGAAGAGATCGCAGTGCATTGAAATTTGAGGACCCCTGGTAGAGTATCCCATTTATTGGGTGAAATCCTGGTCCAAGTGAGGTCAATGAGAAAACTTCCAAAGACCCATTATATTCTTCTGAATCAGAGTGGGAGGGACCATAGGTTTATTGCATGTAAAGCAAAGCGTACACTTAAAAGCATTCTATAAATAATATTAACCAGTCATAAAAGAAAACCCTACATTTCTGAGAGCAAGATTTGTTCCTCCTCTTCCTTCTCTTTTTCACATCCATCTGGATCCATCTCTTTGGTAGTATTGATCAGTTAGGCCTGGATCCCAGCATCCATTTAAGGTTATCTGCAGGATCACAGGATTGGAGACTTACTTGCTTTCCCTCTTCATAAGGCTGACTACAACACAAGATTTCAGGGACACAGCTTTCTCCTTTACACTGGACTGAAGAAACTAAATGAAACAATTTAGAAAATAAAAACCAATATAGCAAACATCTAGCAATAAAATTGCTTGTTAATATAACTGCATGGGTAATCAAGGATATATTCTGGCTGGTAGAACATAAAACATTGATTGAGAATTAAGTAAACCCATAGGTTGTGCCAGCAAAACTGCAGTTAGCAATGCACTGTGTGACAGGCCAGTTGACCGAGAGAGGAAAGAAATGCTCATCCAGAAACATTTGCTGCCTGCAACATCATTGGTGGGGACTGTTACCTGCACACATTAGGGCACCCCATCTTTTCCCAGTCTGTAGGGCTCCAGGCATAACCTGGTAAATCTCCTCCCTTGGTGTTCACACTTCAACTGCTAGCAGAGGACCTCACCCTGCCTGATTGAACTAACCTCGTTATCTCCAGATTGATTCTTGCCAGCATATTTTTACCTGCCCCTGGAAATTTCCATCACATGCATCCGACGAAGTGGGCATTCACCCATGAAAGTTTATGCTCCAATACATCTGTTAGTCTTAAAGGTGCCACAGGACTCTCTGTTGCTTTTTCCGGTAAATTTAGGCACCCCCACCTTTTCCCAATTCATAGGGCTCCAGGCGTATACTACTACTGCAGGTTTGCAGGACCTTTTACCAGTGAAAGAGCCTTGCACAGTAATATACTACATAACCTCTATTTATTAACAATCACCAAACCCAGACTGCACACGCTACACACCCAGTGCTCACCACTCCCAATAAGCCAGATGAACTTTTCTTGATGGCCAGTCAGGATCAGGTCCATCTGGGGGCCTACAAGTTCTGCACGGTGTCATTGGCAGAGGGTTGAGGTCTGACAGCTCTGATCTTTGGGGCTGTGTCCTGGAGTTGGTTCCCAAAGAACTTCCTTTTGGACCCCAGTTTATACAGTGAAATTTGAGTCCTGCTTAGCTGTACCTTAACCAATCATTATACTGAAATCTATCTAACCAATCCTAACATAGTATAACAAAATTCTCTAATCAATTCTACCCCACCTCCTAGCAAAATTAATTATGTAATAGACAGAAACAATTAAAGAACCAGACAGAGACCATACAGATAAACAATAGGGAAGTGGGGACCATAATGACAAAACAATAAAGAAATGAGGATTTCACAACCACAACTATTGATAAGTGATTTCTTGGCAGACAGAATGATGTCAAACTAAGTTTTCTTTAACCATCTGAAGATCTGTTTCTGTATCTGGTGACAGTGCGTGTTATTAGGACGGGGTCTCCTTCTTAACAGCCTGATATTACATTGTTTTAATGCCATTTAGATG